TACAGCAAAAAAAAAAAAAACTTTAAAATTGTATAGGGCTGCATTATCTACTATGTTATTCACTACCTACATGGCTATTTCAAGTTTAGTAAAAAAAAAAAATAAAATTTAAATCTCGGGGCTGGGGTTTTAGCTCAGTGGAAGAGCACTTGCCTAGCATGTGTGAGGCACTGGGTTCGATTCTCAGCGCCACATGTAAGTAAACAAAATAAAGCCCACCAAAAACTAAAAAGTATTTTAAAAAAATTTAAATCTCAAGGCTACTGTATTGAACAGCACAAATGTGGTATAATATAAAAATATTGTCCTTGTTCCTGGCTAATAATCCCTAAAACCCTTGGGATTTCCTTTGTGACAGGAGTGTCTTTTGTTCATGAGAAGGCCCCCTCTGATCATACTTTGAGTTCATGCTAACAAGGTGACAGAGTGGGTGCCTTGATAACCTCAAGATGGAGCTGGTCTTCAGAAAGATCAAGTGATTAGAAGGTCACAATGTTCAGACCCACCCACTGACCGACCATTTCCAGGAAAAGGGGTTTGGGAGCTGGAGGGAGAGCTCTATAAAAACTCCCCCACAGAAGATTTGTAGAGTTCCTGGGTTGGTAAATCCATCCTAGTGCTGGGAGGGCTTCACCAGAGAGGACATAAAAGCTTCCCACCCTACTACATTCCTACGGGGCCCTGTGCATCTCTTCTATGACTTGGCTATTCCTGAGTTATGGTAAGTGAAGTGTTTACTATAGCCCATAAAAGTGCTTTCCTGAGTTCTGTGGGAACCTAATTTACAACTGGTTGGTGAGAAGTAGAGGGGCATCTAAAATGCAGGCAATCTTACAGAACTTAGCCCTTCTAACTTGTGGGATTAGATGCTAACTCAAGGTACGTAATGTCAGAATTGAATTGGTGGATACCTGCTTGGTGTCCAAACACATGGAGAATTAGTGTCCAGAAAACAAATCAGAACAGAGAGAGACATTAACAGCATCACAGAAAGTTCTATTGAACAATACTATGAGAAGGAAAAAGAAAATTGTTATATCTAAATCCTAGGAGGGGGTCTTCAATTCAGCAGTGGGTAAAGAATTCAAAGAATAAAAGTCTGGGAAACTAATTCAACTTAGAGTCTTCTTCCTGAACCAAAGACATTAAGATTTGATCAGACTACAATTATTCCATTGTTCAGTCCTAATGATTGTCTCCCTTACAGACACTAAGAGACTATAGAGAAATCAATAGCTTAAGTTATCCAAAAACCCCACAGAAAATGCCAGGATTAGAACTCAGTTTCCATGTAATTATTTGGTCCACTGAGCTCCCTCTCCAAGGCTTGTTTCAGCACAGCTTCAGACTGACAGATTCAAGTGTAAGCTGTCAGCCACAATCAGAGGCATTACCTGACAGAGTACAGACACAAGTAAGTTGAAAACTGACTGTTGAAGGGTAGCCGCCTTTAATCCCCAGATAGTTCCCAAAGTGTCACATAAATGTCTAAGTAAAAATGGCACTTTCAGGTACTGGCAGTGATAGGCAAGTACACTAACAAGAAAATCTGCCTTCAGACAGGAAGAGGTGCAGGTCCTATAGAGGTGGGGATGAGTTCCACCTCATTAAATCCCAGCCAACATAAAATGAGAAACTTAATTACAGACTGCTGACTGCCAGCTTGAAAACCACTGGTAAGCCATTTCTAATGCAAAGATGCAATCTGCAGCACAGTGGTTTCCAAGGCTAGAGGCAGGCTTTATTATCCAAAGATCAGCTGTTGGGCTTTTTGAAAGAAAAAAAATATATATATATATATTTTAAAAATATTTATTTTTTAGTTGTACACAATACCTTTATTTTGTTTATTTATTTTTATGTAGTGCTGAGGATCGAACCCAGGGCTTTGCACGTGCTGGGCGAGCGCTCTACCGCTGAGCCACAACCCCAGCCCCAAAAATATATTTTTTAAAATACTTATTTTTCAGTTGTAGTTGAACATAATACCTTTATTTTATTTATTTTTATGTGGTGCTGAGGATCGAACCCAGGGCCTTACAAATGCTGAGTACTCTACCCTCTGAGCCTCAACCCCAGCGCACCCCCCCMCACACACCAAGAGTATTTTTTTTAAATGGCAAAAAGTGAAAGTCCTTGGGCTGGAGCTGTAGCTCAGTTGTAGAGTGCTTGCCTCGCATGTGTGAGGCACTGGGTTCGACCCTCAGCACCACATAAAACAAACAAATGAATAAAGATATTGCATCAATGTACAACTAAAAAAATGTATTTTTTGAAAAAGCAAAAGTCTCTCTCTTTCATGTAATCCCTTCTTTAGCAAATCCAACTCCCCAAAAGCGATTATTATTAAGAATTTATTAGCTGGGTATGGTGGTATACACCTATAATCCCAGCTACTCAGTAAGCTGAAACAGGGGGATCACAATCCAGGCAAGCCTGGAAAATTTAGCAAGAGAACCTGTTTCAAGGAAGAAAAAAAAGCTGGGTATATAGTGCAGTGGTAGTGCACTTGCTCATCATGTGTAAGGCCCTGTGTTCAATTCCCAGCACTGGGGGCGGCGGGGAGAAAAAAGAATTGTTGAATATTCTCCCATGCTTTCTTCTAAACATATGCAATAACTTTAAAAAATACATAGGCATGGATTGGGGTTGTGGCTCAGAGGTAGAGCACAAATTAGATGGTGGTGATTGTTGCAAAACCCTGTGAATATACCAAAAAACAATGAAATGTATTCTGTAGGTAAAATGTATAGTACGTGAATTAAACCTTAATAAGGCTATTTTTTAAAGGGACGTTACACAAATGGAATTATAAAAAGTCTAACCTTTTGGGATTAGCTTTTTTCACTGAGCTTAATTATCTGAAGATTGATCCACATTGCCGCATGTATTGATAGTTTTTTTCCTTTTTATTGTTGAGTAGTATTCCATTATGCAAATGGACCACTGTTTATGTAACTTTATCAATACTAAGAATGAATATCTTTTAATACATTGACCAAATGACTTAGATTTTCTCCTGTGAGTTGTCTTTTCATATTCTGGTTCCTTTTCCTACTATTCCCCCCATTTTTTATTAGCTCTTTATCACGTGTATTACAAATTCTTTTTCCCAACTTAACTTTGCTAATGATTTTTATCATTATCTTTTTACTTTTTTCTTTCTTTAATTTTATTTATTTATTTATAATATATTTTATTTTATTTTTATTTTTATGTGGTGCAGAGGATCGAACCCAGTGCCTCACGCATGCCAGGTGAGCACACTACCACTTGAGCCACATCCCAAGCCCTATTTTTTTTATTTTTATGTAGTGAAATATTCTTTCATATTTTTCTCTTATGACTATATCTTTCTGTTAAAATTTTTAACTTATTTTAGCATAAGTAGTTGGCAAGTTGAGTCTCTGGATTCACTAGCATGATGTGTGATAAAGCAGAAAGCCCATGAAGCTAGGAATCTGAAGGTTTAGATTCTAGTCTTAGTTGTGCCATTATCTATTTAATTCACTCTGGGCAGGTCACCCATCTTGGAATTCCTGTTTATACTTAACACAACTATTCTTACAAACAAGATTGTAGATATAAGAGGGAATCTCCAAAAATTATTCAACACATGTTTATGTATTATGAAGAAAATTTAAAGTATTGTATTTATAATTTTTTTTGGTACTGGGGATTGAACCACCAAAGTACATCCCTAGCCCTTTTTATTTTTTATTTTGAGACAGGGCCTTGCTAAATTGCTGAGGCTGGCTTCTAACTTAAGATCCTCCTGGCTTAGGCTCATGAGCTGCTGGGATTATAGGCGTGCACAACCATGCCTGGCTAATATATGTTTTGGAAGCTAGGCATGGTGGCATGTACCTGTTTCCCCACAGACTTAGGACACTGAAGTGCGAGGATCACTTGAGCTCAGGAATTTGAAACCAACCTGGGCAAGACAGCCAGGCTCCAACTCTTTTTTTWAATATTTTTTTAGTTATTGATGGACCTTTATCTTATTTATTCATATGTGGTTCTGAGAATCGAACCCAGTGCCTCACACATGCTAGGCAAGCACACTTCCACTGACTACAACCCCAGCCCCGGACTCCAACTCTTAAAAAATAAACACTGGCATTTGTGAGACCCTGGGTTCAATCCCCATAATCATGATCAATCAATAAATAAATAGATAGATAGATAAATAGATAAATAAATAAGTAGGTACTATTTCTATTTCATGTACCATACTAGAACATTCAAAATGTCAGCCTCAGAGAAGTAGTTTACCATCTCCAAATTTCTATGTCCAAAGAAGTCAAGTGACTTGCCTGGTGTCACAGGTGATGTCTAGGGAGGAGTTGATTCCAGAAATAAATCCAATCAGGTATATCCTAGCCTTTTTCCCAAGTCAGAGAACAACATTTTTCTGAGTCAAGACCTTCAATGAGCCCAGTGCAATGGCACATGCCTATAATCCCAGCAACTCAGGAAGCTGAGATAGGAAGATTGCAAGTTTGAAGCCAGGTACAGCAACTTAGGGAAGCCCTAATCAACATATCAAGACCCTGTCTCAAAGTAAAAAATAAGGACTGAGGATATATGGCTCAGTGTCTACATAAAGTGCCCCTGGGTTCAATTCCCAGTACCACACACATTTAAAAAAAGACCTGCTTTTTGAATGACCAACAATAAAAAAAAAAAATAAATAAATAAAAGACCTGCTAAATGGGTTGTGGGTATGTAAATCAGTGGTAGAACATATGTTTAGCATGCATGAGGTTCTAGGTTTACACCTACACACACACACACACACAGATGCTCACACGTGGACCTGCTAAAAATTAACTATTACCACTTGTCTGTATTCATATCTACACTAAAAACAAAATAAAATATAAATGCAAAAAAAAAAAAAAAACTCTGAAAAATGTAGAACCTACAATTTTGATGTTGGTGGGGGTTACAGCAAAGAAAGTGAAATGAGAGAGCTAAATTTCAAATTATAGACCGACCTTGCTTCCGACAACCTGGGATTTTGATAAAGGCTCCATAATCTGTCACCATGGCAACCTATAAAGAAAAAAATAATAAATCAATGTCACATAAATGAGAATCTTTCTTCCAGAGTCTCCTAGACTCCTTGATTTCTGCTTGGCACTGACTTGTCTCTGACTACTACGAAACTCCCTAATAATGTTTTGTCAAGCATTCTTTATTATGTTCTTTTTGAAACTTAGAATAACAGGTATATACATATTCATTAAAAACAATGGTGAGATTGGAAGGTCATCACACATGGTATGATGGTAATCAAGGGATGCCCAAATCCCACACTTGTTAAAATCACCAAAGGAGGCCAGGCACAGTGGCGCAAGCCTGTAATCCCAGCAAATTCCAGCGGCTCAGACGATCTCAAATTCAAAGTCAGCTTAAACAACTCAGTAAAACCCTGTCTCTAAATAAAATACAAAAAAAGGGCTGGAGCATCCCTGGGATGAATCCCCAGTATTTTAAATAAAAAAAAAAGGGAGAAAAGAAATCATCAAAGGAGTTTTATGAATGAAAGGGATAGCAGGAATCAGGTAATAAAGTTACACTTTATATTAGCCGGGCCTTAGGCCTCTAATCCCTATACAAACAACTATAGTAGTTTGACATAGAACGTGTAGATCCCTTTTTCTTAAACTTCAAACCAAGACAGTAGAATGAATTGAACATAAAGTTCCTGTGTTCATATATGAATACATGACCAATGGAACTCCACATCATGTACAACCACAAAAATAGGAACTTATACTCCATGTATATATGACAAACCAAAATATAGTCTACTGTCTTGTATAACTAATAAGAACAAATAAAAAATTTTAAAAAACACTGAGTCCTGGGTTTTAAGAAAATTAGAGAAAAAAATCAATACATAGACATCTGACAGACCATGAAAAGATATAACCAGAGAGAAAAAGATTTGTTCTCAAGACTTTTGTAGCACTGACCTAACATCGGGAAGTTAGTGGTTTGATGGACTTATATAATAAGTAACCAATAAATGTTAGTGAGAAAGGCCCAGAGTCCCTGCCAAATAAATTATTATCTCCACTCTTTCAATCTTCTAGTTTTTCCCTTCCCTACTCACCTGTGTGGATTGGGATTAATGTTGTCACTACATTTAGCATTTAGCATTAAATTCATTATTTGTAAAAATTCAGTATTTTATTCTTCTCAGTGTCTTTAGCTAGTTGTTTCATCTTAAGCAATCATTGTTTCACCATATCTAAAGCTAGGGAACTGAATAAGACAATTCCCGCTGGACTAATATATACTAACATATGCTAAATGTTCACTACATGCAAAACACTATTCAAAATCCTCATCACACCTTATAAAGTTGGTACTATTTTCATTTGACAGATGACAAAATGATGCAGAGAAAGGTTAGGTAATTTGCCCAAGATCCAAACCTGGCAAGTAGAGGAGCTGGGCTTAGAACCCAGAGTTTAACTACACTACAGCTGTTCATGGTTCCCTTTATTCTAATGACTACAAGTGGTGACATCTGATATCCTATCTGTTCCTGGCAACAATCCTAGGAAGTATATATGATAGGTTCCTATGYTGCAGATGAGGCAGAACAGTCTAGGTGTAGAAAGAACACTGCTTTGGAGTGAAAGATGCGGCTTCTAATCTCAGCTCTGCCATTTCCTACCTGTGGGATACTGAACACAACTTGCCTTTCAAGGTCTAAGTTCCCATCTGCTCTCACTTTGCTGCTACAGATAACAAATGACATACATAAAATGCCTGGCACTGGTATCTGGCACATAATGCACCCTCTAAGTATAGCTTTTTAATAATTTATAGTCCAAGAAACTGAAGCACAAAAAGATTAGTGACTAGTAGAAAGACATACAACTTAGATACAAGCTGGGGACAGAACCTCGGTCCCCTGACTCCTAGTTCAGTGCCTCCTGCTTCACCAAACATCATCATTCCACATTAGATGGAAATAGATAAAAAAAAAAAAAA